ACACACACACACACACACACACACACACACACACACACACACACACACACACACACACACACACACACATCCACCTTGGCTTTTGGGTGCTGTTGGTCTCAAAAATGAAATTGTATCTACTGTAAACCTCAGAGTCAGATGGATGAGGTGTGCCTGATATACCCATGTAAGGAAATTCCATCTTTTTGACACCAAGCAGAGAATTTAGCAAACAGTGACCCTGTTGGCCGTGTTTAATGTCAGCATCCAACACTTTAACTATATATTCTAGACAGTACGGCGTCATATTTTCAGTTTGTTATAGTGTCAGATGCAGTCACTATACGTTTTCATACCTTTTCTTGTCCCGGAGTGGATGCCGTCAGCTCTAACCTACTAAATGGCATGACTTGGAGTGTATTTTTCATTTTTTTAAGTGCTCATAAATAATATATATAGGTGTCCTTTTTTCTGCATATGCATGTGAAGCGATGTTCAAAGCTACAACGGGAGCACAAACTACATGAGCCACTTGAGAGGTTCACACACATACAGCATGTCATTTGAAAGAAGCCTTGCAGCCTGCTTGATTGTCAGACAAACTTTGCATGCCTTGATTTATTTCTTATGCATGATTCTCCCACTGCCGCCACCTCTATCACCAAGGACATCTTGTGACTCCAACCAAAACGAGTCTCACTTTTGATGTCCGTTCAATAGTTGCAGATACTCCTACTCCACCTCCCCCTCCTCCTCCGGATGACATGCCCATGTTTGACGACTCGCCACCGCCTCCGCCGCCTCCTCCGGTGGATTACGAGGAGGAAGACGCCGCAGTCGTGCACTACAACGACCCCTACGCCGACGGAGACCCCCAGTGGGCTCCCAAGAGCTACATCGAGAAAGGTTTGCTTAACGTTTCTAATTATTTGCAGGCGAAGTCCTGCCATTGGGTACAGAGTCCAAGAGCAAACCTTTTCCCTTCCTGTTGGCAGTGGTGGCCATCTACGACTACGCCAAGGACAAGGACGACGAGCTGACTTTCATGGAGGGCGCCATCATTTACGTCATCAAAAAGAACGACGACGGCTGGTTCGAAGGCGTGTGCAACGGCACCACCGGCCTCTTCCCCGGCAACTACGTGGAGTCCATCATGCACTACGCCGACTGAAGGGACCTTTCAGTTAAAGTACAGCATATTTATTCAGTCATATCACAATCCACTGAGAGACTGACGGCAGAAATCTGACTCCCGAGATGCATAACCACGTGATCCCCCCCCCGCCGCCCTTTTTCTTTTGATATGACGGAATGTTTTTCCCTTACTGATTGCAAATAAAATGACAAAGGTATATCTATTTAGTTAATTTTGGTGTTATGGACAGGTGGGGAACATTTAAGGAACATGTAAAATAAACTTTTTTTTTTTTTTATGAATTGGACTGCACATGCTCACACAGTTGAAGGATGTACGGTGAGATCTTGCCTGAACAAAACACTTTGAACAAGAGTTTTTAGGTTTCGATGGAACAAATAAAAATGTAACGTAAGCACCTTCAGTGGAAGTGTTTGTACCGTTGGTTGTACATAATCCGAGCTGCAGCCACTCCGGGAGGGAAGGGGGGGTTCTGTAATGTAAATTCAGTGAATGTCGATCATATGATGCTTTTCATTAGTGGTGCCGCCCTCCTCCTCCTCAACTCTGTAAATGACAGATGGACTGTTGGTGATTCGCAAATAAATACTGTAAATCGTATTTCAAAGGAAAGAAAACTTACTGCGGGAAAATCAGTCTCAGCGTCAAAGCATGCAAAATTTTTCAAGAGCTAATGTAATTTTAAGTTTATTGCCATTATCCTTCCATTATGTTGTAAATGTATACACCTTTGCTTTCTTATTACACTCTTGAAATCACTTTTTAAAAAAACTGAAGTAAATGACAGGCTCGTCCCTTTTATCGCCGCCTTTTAAATTTCATGAATTTGGGTCCATCTAAAGCAAAGACATTCCATCCATTTTCAGCTTATTATGGAGCATTTTAGGATTCACTGTTGATTTTATATGCAGAAAATGTGGAAGATCTTTCGGTGACTGGCAGGAATATCATTCCTGTGCGTATGGGTGACAAATTAAATGAAAAACATGAACCCGTGACCCCCAACCTTAACGTGAAGGGACAGTTTAGATCCTCAAACCTTGTCTTTTGTGCCCTGCTTCTGAACCTGTGCACTACAATTTTAGCAAAGTAAAGATGAGGACAACCACAGCACAGGGTTTTTTTCTAACTAAGTGTTGAAACATTTCTAACCCTTTCTAGGTTACTAATAATCACGGGCACAGAGGGGGTCACTGGATCATTTGTGTATGAAAACTGTGATTATGCCCTTTGGAGTCACCAGATCTCATCACCATCATGAAAACCGCAAATTGTTTTAACCTCTCCGTTAGCCTGGCAAACACTTCCTGCAATTTGTCACCTGAGAGTGGAATCGTCCTGCCCCAAAACTGCCACGTGACAATTCAGATGTGATAACGTAGACCATTTAAGCAACTAGTACCTCCTCGGTCTTCTCAAAGCACCACTGGCCCCGTCTGGGTTCAAAGACCGCGCTGACTGCTAGGAACGTGTAATCCTCTGGGCTGCACGGGTGTATATAATACATTATCTCCAGTATAAATCAGCCAGTCCATACGTAGGTGTCTCTCAGGTATAAGAATCATCATCTTGTACTTTTTCATGCTGGTTCTGTCATCTAACATGACCTCCAAATGCAGTGTTAAACCGCTACCTGCTGTGGTCACCTTTCACCCACTTTATTTCCAGCTCAGTTTCATCATAGATCTCTCTCTGCCCTTCATTTGTACATAATAAAATGTTGATTGAGAAATTTATGTACAGTGTTTTATAATAAACAAATCTATGTACAACATGCGCGTGTCATTACTTTTGACAAGGAACCGAAGCTTTGGCTTGAATGAAATTTTAAAAAAATGAAGCAGTTGGTTTATTGAGCGCACAGTCATTGCAGATGTTAAGGCCGTGGTCGTTACAGGACACTTTGCATCACAGAAGTAACCATATAACACTTCAGAGTGGAAAAGAAAGACACGTGACTGATTGGCCTTTGAGGTGAGGACGGATCCAAGAGAGTACACAACGATGCACTTCCCTCTCCTTTGGAATTACACAGATGTTGCAACGCCTCGGTCGCAGCTCAGGACCAGCAGGTAACAAACTGTTCACTCACAGTCGGCTAGTCTGAGCCACGGGAGGCTTTTGCAGTTACAGTACTGTAAGCAGTGAAGGGTTCAGCTGCAGTTTTCAGTTGTACTTATTCATTTACATATCATACGTTTCCTGTAAGAAACTCAAACATCACAATTTGCCTAAATACCAAGTTTACTTGTGCTTCGTAAGGATGCACAAATTTAATGGCCTGGTTTGGGGCTTTCAACAGATCTGGTAACATTTGTGTTGCACCAACTTTGGCCTGTTAAATGTTCAAAGACCGTTTGACGAGGAGCTGAAAAACTTTAAAATTCTTCTTTTTATGATGATTCTTGTTATCAACAACAAAATAAATATTGGCATTGGCATCAGGTTTCAGTCAAACTAAAATTTTAAACAGAATGAGCCCAAAAAAATAAAAAAAATAAATCTGTGCATCCTTAATACCAAACCTCAAGTCAAGAGGAAAGCGCCACGATTCAGATCAGAGACCCCTGCTTGCCGTTTTGTTCTGTTAAGCCAGAGTTGGCACTCAGATCAGCACCAGAGGTCCATCCAAACCAAACTCCTGTTGCCTCCCTCGCTATTTTTGCCCAACCCTGCTGGTCTAAGGACCTAAGGGTGGCAGGTAAATTGCTGTCCTCTCCCCTGGAGTAGCTGCCTGAAGAGAAGCCCAGCAGAGGAGGATCATTTGTCTCTGGTTAGCACCATCTCTGTGAGCCTGATGAGGGCGTCTCTCTCTGGGGATGGCCTGAGCCTACTGATCTGCCTGATTGCTTCTTTGCAGTAGTGCTGGGCCAGGTAGTTGGTCTGCTGCACACCATTACTCTAAAACAGAAGGAGGAGCACTCACATTATTAACGTTTTTAATCTATTAACCTATATCGGATTTTTAAGACTGACCAATACAGATATGTGGTAATTAAAAAAAAAAATCTTTTTCTAAATATTTTTAGCAGAGTCTCCCTAACATTTATCATTTATTTATCTAAATGTGTCTGGTTGGATCAGCTCGTTCCAAACATGTTGTCAACAGAGAAGCTGCACAGCTCCCTCTGGTGGAGAAACTACATAACTTCAATGCACAGATTTTTTTATTTTTATGTATTTTTTTGCTTTTTAGGCGGGCCTTTTTTCTTCAGTGATCGGTTAGCAGTGAAGAGGGGACACGAAGAAGAAGTCAGGCAGCAAAAGGCTGCAGGTTGGATGTGAACCCGGGCCGCTGCATTTCAGCCAGAGGGCATATGGGCACCTGCTCAACCAGTGAGCTGGCAACCGGCATCTGCCACTCACAACATGGTCGAAGGGCGGTTCTCCTATCCTTTAAAAAAAAAAAGTCATTTATCAACTGCTATAAATGCTGATACTATCAGCAAGTAGCTAATACTGGACGATAATATCAGCTTGCTGATAAGTCTGCTCTGGCTCTGCTATCAACAATAAAACACTAAAATCATTGACAACTGCTTTTTTTTGTCACGCAGAGCTCAGCTTCATTTACTAAACACCTACTTCTGGTTACAGTTTTGCAGCCTTTTGTGAATGATTAAATATTACAGCAGGCACTGCTCATAACCTGGTTATACCAACCCTATGGTTAAATACGGTGTGGCAGCATCATGCAGTGAGGGAGAAATTCATAAAAGAATAAAGGAAGCGAGTTCACCTTAAAGCACAAGTAAGACCGGATTAAATTCTTGCTTCAGAAAATGTCCTTGACCAAGGCACTCCACAGCGTTTTTAATAATCAGGACCGATCCCTCTCTAAGGGACGCACTGGGACAAGTCTCTGTCTTTGAGTGATTCGGCCAAATCCCAGATCTAAAGCCCAAAGAACATCTGAGGAGAGACCCTGAAGATGACAGTTTAAGCACTTTCACATCTAATCTGACCAAGCTTTGGAGGATCTGCACAAATCCAGGTGCGATTTGTGCTCGCACAGTTTACACCACAGTGACAGTGCTGCTAAAAGTACCGAGTGAGTTCGACTACTTCTGTAAATGAGACTTTGGATTTTTAAATGCATTTCCAAAAATCTATAAAACCATCCTACCATCGTTAGTTTCAGAGTGCAGATTGTTAGACTTTGACCTACAGCGTCACTTCAGACTAGGTAAAGTTCTTAGCATCGCTTTTAGATCTCTCTCTGCTCTTTATTTGTACACAATAAAACGTTTATTGTAAAATTTATGTACAGTGTTTTATTATAAACAAATCTATGTCAACATGCATGTGTCATGACTTTTAAGAAGCTAATTTCACATCATTTTATTTTTTAATATAAATGTTATTAAGAGAGCTCTTCTTTTGGTTGGACCTTTAAGGCTTTCACTTATGGCGTATTACGGCTCATACCTGAAGGACGTACTGCCAGGCTCGATCTACGTCTCCTTTGGAGGCGAAACGTCTCATGATCATTGCATGAAGCTCAGGAAACTGAAATGACAAACAGATAAAAACTAAAGACAGTTTGCAGTCCATCTCATTCAGCTAGTGGTGCACGGTTTGTCTGCATGTCCTGAGTAAGAGCGATGGTGGCGGTGTCTCACCTGCTGACAAGCAAACAGGACCGGACCAGTAGCCAAACCCAATTTCAAATCGGCCGCTGTGGGCTTCCCCAGCTGACTGGCTCCAGATGTGAAGTCCAAAACATCATCCACCAGCTACAGGACAAAACAAACCGCCTTATTACATAACTACTGTGCAAAAAATCATTACTGATATTTGCTCATCACTGAGGGCGACACTTTGCTTAACAGCCTGTACCTGAAATGCAATGCCAACATTCTTCCCATACTGGTACGCTATTTCATGCACTTCAGGATCAGAGTTTACCAGAATGGAAACCTTAAATGAAAGAGTGCAGACAGTCAACGAAAAAAACATTAAAAGTGCAGAAAACGAGGCTTTTCTCCATCTCTCTGCTATTTATGTGAAGACAGAACGTACATACTGCTTTACAACTGTTTGCAATAAGACTCGCTGTCTTCTTGAAGGTCTTCTCGAGGTAGTGTTTGAATCGCTCGTTCTCGTTCTCTTTGGAACCCAACTGCATGAATTCACCTGCAATCACAAGGCTATATGTAAATGCATTCTTCCGGCCAGTTCTTCTGCATGCTGGTTCTCGGCTCATCGTGACTTACCTCGCACCAGGTCCTCTATGACCTGAGATAAAACTTTCACCACTGTGATGTTACCGATACGAGCCAAGGCCATTGAGGCAGCCGAGAGGATGAAATCTCCGGCTAAGATAGCCTGGAAAAGAGGAGGCCGAATGATATACGAACAGGTGGTTCGGAAAAACATATCAGACCAAACGATTTTATCTCCTTTACCTTTTTTTCACCCCACACTTCATTAATTGTTCTCTTCCCTCTTCGCTTATCCGATCCATCTATGACATCATCATGCACAAGGCTGGCAGTGTGAATCATTTCAGAGATCATAGCGATGGCCCTCTGCCCTGGGAGCAAATCTCTAAAATGGACAAACACAGACAGCAAACAGGAGGTGGTCAAATGCAATTATCTGAAACAAAAGAGTTTGTCATAACGGTGCAATCAGGACTCTGACCCGTGTGTCGCAGAGCAAAATACAACTGAGTTTAGAGTCGTTTACCCGGCTCTGTTGCTGTGGATGTTAAGGGCGCGAGCCATCAGTACCACTATCATTGGTCGGATGGCCTTCCCCTTGCCATCGAAATAGTATTCACACAGAGATTTCAGCTCTACTTTGGACACAAACAGCTCCTGTAAAGGACAGTAAAAAGCAAGCGTTTTATTTCCGCCATAAACAACCGCTGTGCAGAAAGAAATCTGCCAATCACCACAGGGCAGGAAACCGCCCACTCTGACCCAAAAAGCCTTCATTAATTTGTCACAGCTATTGCAAAAATATCTCAGACAGACTTCCTTTTAGTTTTTCTCTACGTTCTTTAGCAGCTTAAAACCCCTATTGTGAAAGAAGGGTGTGGCTTTGCTCTGTTGGCGGGTGAGAGGGGAGGCAGACTGGTTCAAGGAGAAATTCAGAGTACAGTTGAATGGGAAAGCTAACAGGCTTGGTGGTTAATAAGTAGTAAAAAGGTAAAAACCTGCCAGTATTAGTGAATGAATCCTGACTGCATTAAAGATAAAGTGTGTGCTTTGCAAACATCTGGATTTAACTACTGATTTGTTCAACCTTAAAATTGGGTTGAAAAACTAATAAATGTGAGCTGAAGCTGTTACTTTTCGAGAAGTGACCAGAGAAAGGGATGCAACACAAAACAGAATACAGCACAACAATCGCTTCAGCACAACTATTCTATTTGAAAGCTAAATTGGATTGATCTCTTTGAAGACTTACTTTTTTGATGTCGTCATATAAGCTCGTCAAGTCTTTCTGGGCTAACGTGAAGGGGTCCTTGGGCTTTGTGTCACTGTGTGTCGCTCTGCAACAGCAAGACTGTAGTGTTGGAAGCAGCAACCGTGACTGGTGTCTGGAAAGAAAGATATGCAAATATTTATGCTGAAACTGAACGTGTGATTTGAAATGCACAAAAATATATTAATAAATAAAATGTAAAAATCACTACTTAGCTGGACTACCTAACAACTCACCTGATTAGAAAGTTTCCTGCTTTCATGTTTATCTGTGCAGCTGTTGGCGGCTGAAATTGAAAATGAGATCATAACAAAGATGAGCTCAGGCATGTGCAGCACA